ACTCGTGTTGTGTGTGTACGTAATAGCTGGTCACTCTTCAGAATCTTCCTTCACGTTTGGTTGTCACATCTGTGTATAAAGGCTTCTAGGAATAACCTCTACATACTTCCCTAACTAAAGCATCCTCTGCTCAACTATACCCCAGTGTTTGAAATAATTAGGAAAAATACTCAGCAAACATATGTGGTGTGGTTTTGTAGGCACTGAATACACAGCAGTGAACATGGCTCCACTCCCTCTGTTCTTATGGAGTCTGCACGCCAGTGGTGGAGATACGCAACAAGCAAATAAACTAGAGGATTCAAGTGGTGCTTTGAAGAAAAAGAAAGAGAGGGACAAGTCTTTTCTAGGTGAACAGGGACCCGTGGTTGCATTCTCCCTGGGGATATTTGCTGAGTCTGAGAAAGAGGTGAGAGAAAGACCAAGCTTGGCATAAGCAGGAGGACGGCGGGGATCAGGAGAAACCAGAAGAGTTTTCAATGGCTCTGTGGACTAGAGTCACAGATTGTCAACACAGAGCTAGTTCTTCCCAGCCAATGACTCCCCCCCAGGTCTATGCTGAGTGTGCAGTGGCACAGGAAGCTGGAAATTGTCTGGATGTCAGGGAGACATCATTCCAGTTGTGCGGTACTTAGATCTGAAAGTCCTATAGCAGAGGGTATTAGGAATACATACAAGTTATATCTCCTGGCAGGAGAACTGCAGTAAAACGTGAACTGAAATTAAAGTTTTAGACCAGCCCAACTCCTAATTAGATCGAAGTGATTAGTCCCTTATCCTATCAGCCTGATGGATGAAAAGGTTTGTCCTCCCTGGAAAAAAGCAATATATACTCCAGTCTCTATGTCAGGCATATGATAAAATACAATACATATGAAGAAGCAGAAACTCATGACCCATAATCAGAGATAAACAGTGACAGAAACAGAACTATAAATGACCCAGATGTTAGAATTTGCAATCAAGGATTTTCATGTAGCTATCATGAACATGTTAAAGAAATGAGAGGAAAAGATTTTTCAAAAGGATGAAAAGAAGGAGCATTTCAACAGAGAATGGAATCTCTGAAAAATAATCTAAAGGTACCTTCTAGAATGAAAAAACACGGTATCTAAAATAATTCACTAGGTAGGATTTACAGTGCACTGGACAACTCAGAAGAAATGATCAATGAACTCAAATACAAGTCAAGAGAAATTACTCAAAATGAATCATAAAGAGAAAAATAAGTAAATAAATAATACAGAACAGACTGTGAGAGACATGTGGACATCATAAAATTGTTTAAAATCCATTTAAATTGGAATTCCAGAAAGAGAGAAAATGTGGCAGGATAAATATTTTGAAGAGAATTTTTGAAAACTGATAAGAGATCAAACTATAGATAGGAAAAGTTCAGAGAACTCCAAACAGGATGAACGCAAAGAAAACCACAGCAGCACAAATCAGAGTCAAACTTTGGAAATAAAGATAAAGATAAAATCATAAAAGCAGCCTAAAGAAAATTATATTCAGAGAAACAATGGTCAAAATAACAGTTGATTTCTTATAAGAAACAATGGATGGTAAAATATATTGGAATGACATGTTAAAGATGCATCTTCAAAAGAATAACATCTTAAGTCACACATATGTTAGAGACGATTAGGCCAGCTTTCCTATATTCAACAAATGTCAGGGCACCTAGCAGAAACCACAATCCCCTTCCTTAAATATGTTACATATATCTATCTATTGGTGATTCTATTCTTTATTACATATTTTGCTAGTTTACCTGGCTAGAAATCAGGCTCCAGCTAAACTCTATGGAACCCCTCTTGCATAAGGAGTTACATATTTTGGGAATTCCACAATTTATTCTTGAGGTCCCCCAAAACTTTTTGGTAGATGCTTATTATGCCCACAATTCTATATGATCTATATATGGAGTTTATCAAACATATTTAGAACAGACATGAAAGTATTTGATCTAGAAAAATTATATGTCAGTCTCAAAAGGCAAATAGTATTAAAAGTAAAGCAAATAATTCATTTAGGCTCACTTCACTGTCTTGCCTCAGTCAGCAATCACAAGATTTAGAACTGATTAGAAATACTACCTACTCCAGTTAAGAATCACATATTTTCCTTTACTGCTCCCTTTTTACTCTCCTCACTCCTAAAGAATATTCGCATTTGAAAAAACTGATTCTCCATAAAATGAGCTAAAACAAAGATTGCTATAACACATTACCTCCTTTCTGAATTTCACTCCATCGGAACTGATGGCGTCTCACAACAGAGAAAACAGAATCATATCCTTCTTCTCGAATCAGTTCCACAACTTTTTGAAGGTCAGCAGGATGTAAACATGGAGAAGTAGCTTGAATATTTCCTACAATGTCAACCTCTTAAAAAGACAAAACAAATGAAAAGGACATCAAAATAAAGTTCTTTGCAAGCAAGTAATACAAAGAGCTTTAAGGCAAATGTTAAAAAAGTCTTTTGAAATGATAAGCGAGTTGGAAATTAAAATAAAAATTTGAATAAACTATTAAACTCATACCATTGTGATAATTAAGAAATTCTACGATGGCATCTAATGAGGTAGAGCTGTCTTTTGAAACTTCAGAACTTCTCCGATGAACTTGTGCACCAAATTGTTTGGCCACATTCTCAATTTCATCATGGTCTGTTGAAACCCACACACTATGTAGATTTTAAAAATAAATAAAAAAGCCAAATCACTAAAAGAAATCATTAAAGATAAAAAGGAGCTATGAAACCCAAAAATGCAGCTTACATAATATTAAAATAGTTTTCATACGATCAAAATGTTAGATCTGAAAGTACTGTAAAATTTAAAAAATTACGAAGTATTTTGTATATAGACCATATTTTTAACACCTAAATAAAAAATGTCCTAGATGTATTTATATTTACCATATATTTATACTATATAGTTATTTACATAAATATTATTTATGTAGCTCTAGATATAGTTTTATAAAATAGGAAAGGATACTTGATATTTTTAAGGCTACTGGTATATTAAGCAAAACAGTAGTGCTAGAAGTTCCAATTGAAAGGAAGTAATGAAGAGCTTGCTTCTTATTCCCCACCCACATCCAAAATACCTTATAAAGTATTTCATTTAATGTACTTGCTAAGAAAAAACTGGACTTGGCTTAGCCCAACCATGAAGCTAAGAGAGTTTCAAGCTTAGAAGAGACTAAAGGTCCAAGTCTGGGATCAAAACAACAAAAATACTCAACTTTTTTTTATATGCCAATTAACAGTGGATATATGAATATTTGAACACAGTGGAGTTACAGCCATTGATAACAATTAGAGACATGGAGAATGTGACTTTATTCGCTCAGGAAAGTTTAGCTTAACAGCTCTATTACCTGCAGTTAACAGACTTGCCTATTTATATTTTAAGTGAATGATGACTAAAAGTAAACTGCTATTCTGGGAGGTGTTCAGTAGTCTCTACTGAAATTAAATTTCCTGAACCTTTACAAATTCCCACTGCTAGAAGCAGAAGATTTGACTATTACTCTAGCCACAATGTTTTAATAATGTTACACAAAGATAACTTAATGACTTAGTTTTTAGCATATGCATATATTTTTCTTCTATCCCCTTCATTCAAGTAATTTATTTCAATTAGTTTATTAGTAATTTATTTCCATCCCGAGGGAAAGAGGAACTACATGTTTCAAATGTCTACACTTAATTGCCAAGAGTGAAAAGAAAGTAAAGAAGATTTTCTGACATCTCTGTATTTCATTTATTAATTTAATTTCATTTATTCCCTTTAATATATGCAGAAGGAGGATTTAAATCTAGAGGTAAAGTCCATACCTCCCTCCACCCCCTAATTTTTTTCTAAGGAATCCTAGTAAATAAGATGAGCCACTGGCTACGGGTCAGATATGCGTCTCCTATCTACGCATGTCACTCTGTGCAACACAGAACGTTAGGAGCCTCCCTCTTCCTCCAGCTCGAAATCTGAAATAATTTGAGGACAGGTTTTTCACTGAAGAAATGTCACAGTCAAAGGTATATAACAAAGTAAACGAGCAGTGAAAACCTAATGAATTTTTTAAAGAGACGGTGTAGGGAGGGTGGTTAGATGGTAATATAGTAAAAAATGAACAGCAAAAGCGAAAAAGATGGGTTTTTGACATCTAATTTACATCACTAATTGAAATAAATGACTGAAGCCATTTACTTTATTATTCTGATCTTTATGGTATGAAAATAACACCACAGGATTCAGTGATCTTTTTGAAACGCTTAAAAGATAAAGAACAGAGGTTTTACAAGAGGTTTCTTTGTTTTTCCTCCTTTCCTCCCTTTTGCCATTCATTCATTCTTGCATTAATGGAACATTTATGAGTGCCTATTCTGTTTCAGGCACTAGTCTGGACACTGGGGATATAGACCGTTTTCTTGAGAAACTCCTGGCCTATCGTAGAGACAGAGGCCAGCCCAGTACCATGATTCCCTTTAAGCCGTTTCGGAAAGAGAGGTAAGGAAGCAGTAACTAACCCTTCTATAATGCCTTACCTTTTACAAATTGTTTTTATAGTGCCTGATGTATAACAGCTGCTCAATACATATGTATTGAATAAAACAGTAAATGGTTAAGAGCATGGGCTGTGAAACAGGGGTTCAAATCCTGGTTCTACCACATGCTAGCTAGCTATATGACCCTATCCAAAATGCATAATTTCCCAAAGCCTCAATTTTCCATATAATAGAGGTGATAATAGTAATTACCTCATATGGTTATGAGGATTAAATATAAACCACAATACAGAATAAACATTTAACAAATGTTCACTGTTCAAAATAAATAGAAACGGTAAGAAAGAAACAACTACATGGTCTCATTTAATCCTTACACTTAGTTGGGAGGAAAACTTAAATTCTGCTTTCAGACCTTCAAAGGTCCAAATGTCTAATTTGTATGTATTATGTAAGGCAACGACACTCGGAATATGAAAATAGCATCACATATGTACACTTAAAATACAATGATTATCATCTATTAAAGGGTCTAAGTAGGTAGATAATTTTCCTTTGGGTTAGGGGAATCAGATGAGCAAAAGAGAAGGAATGAGCAAGTGAACAAACAGGTCTAATAAGATTTAAAATCAAATAGAGTAAATGTCCAAGTCTAATCCCAATGGCTATTTAGCCTCAAATGAAGTCATATATATCTAACAGGATCAACAGGAGTATCAACCATGGTGCCTATGAAAGTTATTTCAAATCATAAACTGCCTTCTTAAGGATAACACAGCATAGGCCTTTCATTAGTCATAAATCCACACCCTAGAAATGTTTTTCACAAGTATGTTAGACAACATTTAAAAAATCAATTTGTTCTGAGGTTTACTTATATAGCACTGCACCACCATTGAAAATCAAGCTCTTACAAACTCAGCTCTAACAATAACTTCTTACTAAATGAAAATTAAATTATGTCAGCATTTTTCTTGACTGCTAACTATCCAAGTTAGTAACCTTTATTGGTAGCTTCGATTCTTAGGAGGCCATAAAAATATGCAATCGAGTCAAATCATGACTTTGAACAAAATCTCCAAAGTACATTCTAACCCTGAAAAACACAAATCAGACAGATTTCCTTAATTTCCTTTCTAGGGTACACATTTGTTGAAGAAAAAAGTAGAGTGGGAGAGGCAGGAAAGCTGCCTCAAATTCTGATGGCCGCTTCAGAATAAATAAGTCAATTAAATTCAAACCAACACATTTTAATTGAGGTTCTGATACATAAAGCATACAAAAGTGAGGAAGATAGTGCCTGCTTACAAGAAGCTTTCTACCTAGTAGAGCAGGGGACATCCCAGGTCAAATCTGGCCTCCCAAAGATGTTAGCATTAAAAAGGAATTTGAAGATGACAACTTACCTGTTTTACAGGTAAGGAAAAAGGAAACGGTGGCCCATGAAAGACATGAAGATTGTAAAAAACCTTCAATACAAGGGGAAAATGTCAAGGATAGGTCACACACTATATGCCAGGCACTATTCTGAGGGCTGTATACACTTTAACTCAATTCCCTCAGCAGGCCTATGAGACAGACACTTAAGTCCATTTTGTAGATGATGAAATTGAGGCACAGCGACATTGACTTACCCAAAGTTACACAGTACATCTGTATACTTTGACTCCAGGGTCTATGATCTTTCCTCCCAGCATTGTGCATGCACAAAAGGTATAAACGACACTGCTATACACGGGAAAACAAAGGTACAATTACTTCCCACTGACGGGGTCAGCAAAAAATTCATGGAGGAAGTAGTGCTGTTCCCTTCTATTTTTTGAGTTACACTTTCCAGATCCCTAGAAAGGATGCCAGCTAGCAAGCAGCTACGTGACTTGTACAGTAAAATTGCATTATTAGATAATATTGTAAGTTAGAAAAGGGAGAGTTAGGAACATTATGATCACTTTGCTAGTAAGGAAAATACTGGTTTTATTTCTTCTAATTACTACTATTGGCACAGTGACAGATACTATAGGTGGTTCAAAATCTTTTATAAAACATCATCCCTATCATCAAGGAGTTAATACTCTTGTATTAACTACAAGATGTATTAAATAAAACTGGCACAGAAAAAGTTAATACAGTACTCAAGTTGTTTATTCTTTCATGGCTTTTTAATAAATGCCTTTTAATAAATGGAAACAGAAAAATCATTGTTTAATATATACATTTATTTTCCAATCATCTCACAGCAAAATCTCCAATGTCTGCTGAAATGGCTTTTATTGGGTTTTGACTTCCAGCATCTAGTCCCCCTTTTAGTAACTGCACTCCAAATTTTCTATTGATGATCCTGTCATTGCTTCATTACTGGCTCCAAGAGTTGAGGATGGGGCTAAACCATACCAATACAAGAACCATGTTCTAGCCACAGTGACAGGTTCAGGGATGAGCAGGGGACCCGATACCACCTAATGAGACTTTTGTTAAAGCTGCAAAGAGGACAGCTTTTTGACTAGACTTAAACCTGGTAGGATATGAGGAATAGTGTCAAGGATAAACAAAGCCAGACACTGGTTATAGCTGTAAGGACAGGTTGTATTCGTTGACTACTGCAACAGGGAAAAGAATCCAGCATGAACTGAACTCAAATTCTCCAAAACAAGGCTGGGCTGTGCTAAGGGAAAGGCATTGAGGGCTGTTAAAGGGGGTATGTCTATGTGACTAGACCATCTGAGTTTGTTAACTAGCGCTTATCCAGGGGAGAAACAAACTTCTAACTCTAGACAGGAGGCAGGGTGCAAGTTGAAGCAAGGCGCCTGTACCCTCCCCTAGGGACTGGGAAGGAGAGTGAGTTAACTCCCAGATGTTTGCATTTCAGGGATAGCTCTCAGGTCCTTGAGAAAAGTTTGGGTGGTAAATTTAGGTCTCCAAGAGCAGAGAAGGGATTTATAATTGCAAACTTTTTAAAGTAACTTGTAAGAGGGGGCTCGGGGCTATCTGCCAGAACAAATTGGGCTTTCTCAGGCAGGCATTTTTAAGGGAGGCTGGGAGCATCCAAAGAACATAAACTGAAGCTGTTAGAAACCATGCTAGAGTTTGAGTACAAAGGTTTGGACAGAGTCGGTATGTGTGGGAAGTTCTACAGTTCTCAGCACAGCCACCTCAATACCTAGAAGAACCAAGAAATAGATGCTGGCACCATCACCTTTATTTTTATTAAAAATATATATTACCACCTGATAAGTATACTTTGTATATTGTCTGTCTCTTCCTATTATTAATGCAAGCTCCATGACATTAGATTGACCCTAATGCTACTGCTGTAACCTCTGGTTAAGGACATAGAACAGTACCTGTCACATAGTAGGTGGTCAATAAATATTTGCTGAATAAAATCATTTTTTGAGCTTGAATTTGATGGTACTTCAAACAAGCCTTACCTTTTTTTGTTGTTGTTGTTAAGCCAGTTTGAAAGGGTCTTCCTCACCCTTTTGGTATGCAACCAAAGAGTTGTAAATGAGTTTTGCTCTCTTTCTATGACTTTGTTTTCTAGTTCATTGCACCAAAAAAAAAAAGACTTTACTACATCACTGCTGCCTGGGTGCACCTTCTCTCAGTCCTTATTTTTTCAGTGTATACCCCATGTAAGGAGGTAAAAATCTCCAATAGTCTGGGCTTCACAAGGAAAGAACCGTGTCACATTCATTGTGGTATTCCCTTGGATGTGTACAGCAGAAATTAGGGCTCAGTAAATGTTTACTGCATTGAACCAAATCCCCAAGTGTTTCCCTATCTTTCCTTTGCACACTTCCTGTTGCATTAGTGTTATCTTCTGGGTGCCAGCTCCTAGTTACCTCGCTCTGCCTGGGCTTCCTTTGGATTAAAACGTTGAAGAAATTACTCAATTTTTATTCTGGTATCTCCTTTTTAAACAAAATTGGGTAAATGAAAATCAATTACCCATATATTAACGGACGTAACTAACATGTTTCAAAAATAACCATCTCTTTAAAAACCAAAACCACAAAATCAAAGGGTGAAAATAATTTACTTTCCACAAAAACAAATTCACATATAACTAGGGCAACGTTCCGAACTGTAAAATACAATTCTTGGCACAGAATTCTGTCCCCTTTCTTTTATGAATGACATCAGCCTGTAACTCCTAACCATTATGGCATATGGCAATGTCTCTATATGATGCACAATTAAAACTGTCCTTAGGGCGGCCCAGGTTCCAAAAGTATGATAAAACCATTGACAAGCATATAAACAGCCAGCTGTATGTACCCTTTCCCACCGTCTCCCACACTATAAATGTAGGGAGCTCTAGATTGTGCTGACTCACAGGCAGATTGCTTTGAGTATTTTTCAAAGGTCAGTAAAAGATCTCCAAGCTGAGCTCGAAACTGGAAAGCCTTCACACCCCGCTCCATTAATAAGCCTGATACCTTCCTCATCGATCAGCACCAAGCGGTTATCGGACGCCGATTAACAGTAAAACCCCAATGGCCTCTGTCTAACAGAGTTCACGTATTATCGCAGACGTTTCACTGGAGTGGCCTCCTTTCCCCTGTTAAGTCGAGGGCTGCGGGGACGGCGGAGAAGAGAAAAATTTCCCCTTTACGGGTGGCATTCTCAAGGACAGCAACAGGAACTGTCCCAGGTCATGACTATTAGCAGCTACTGAACAAGGAAGAAGCTGCAGCCTGTCCTCCCCGAGCTCTCAGCTGGGGCCCAGACACCCCGGATCTTGCACACCCCTTCCAGGAGCGAAAGCCCCAGGAGCCCCAGCTTTTCCCACCGCCCGACTCCCACTCCAGACCCCCGCCCAGGCCGCGCTGCCCACTCGCACATGCGCACCTCTGGAAGACCCCCGAGTCCAGGGCCGCACGCAGGACCCAGCCAATGAGCGGGACCCCCGCCAGGTGCTTAATGTTCTTCAGGGGGATGCCTTTGCTGCCGCCGCGCGCCAGAATTAGGGCCGCCAGGTGCGGGGGCTTCTCCACACCTCTGCCCTGGCTGCCGCGGGAGTTGCGCTGCAGCTTCGGCGGTCGGCCCCGTGACGGCCGCCCCCGCGGGTTGGAGACGGAGGTGGCGGCCCCCTTCTCCACCGAATCCATCTTCCTCCCACGCCTTCTCCCCAGCTTCTCCACATCCGGGAGCTCTTCTTTCGCCACCTCAGCTCGGCACCGCCGGATCTCCCCGCCTCAACGCTCGCCGGGGCGGCCGTTCCTAGCCCCGCCCCCGCCCCGCCCCGCCCCCTATCGCGCGGCACGCCGGGAATTGTAGTCCGCGGCCGCCTCGCCGGGGTCCTTTAGGCCGAGTAGTCTCTGACAGGGCGTCCTCAAACCCAAGCCAAGCAGTGAGAGTCCAGAGATGACTTGAAGGAAGTGGACCTTCTGGGGGTGCTTGATATGGTACGGAGATTCTAAAATAGGCAACAGAGGTTATTGATCTTTTGCTGAAGAACTTCCCCACTTACAAATTATAGTGGGTTTTCCACTGCATACCCTGATGCACCCTAACACAAATCAATTTTATATCTAAAAATTATATTTTGAACGTATATCTTTCTGCCAGGCTCATGACTCATTATTTCCAAGAGATTACCTCATTCGAATGACCAGCAGTCACCTTCAATTCAACATTTTGAAAAACTCAGCTCTCCATATAGGGCTCAAACTGCTTCTACCACTGCATTTTCTATCAACATCACCAAACCACCTAGCGGCAAAAACTTGGAATCAACCTTGACAATCCCTCTCTAGTGTAGTAAACACTGTGTGTGTGTGTGTGTGTGTGTGTGTGTGTGTGTGTGTGTGTGTGTGTGTGTGTGTGTGTGTTGTCTGCTGAAAATCATCTCCTTTTAGAAATTGTTTCCTCTCTTACCTGGTGAGGCTTCCACTCACATCCTCCGCATTGTAGTGGTTGGTGGGTGTGTGACCCAAGTTGGTCAATCTAAGTATCTCACCTTCCTGAATATAGCTGAGGTCAGGCCTATGACCAAGCAGAGTCCATTGGAGTCCTTCCCACAGACTCTGGGAAAGATAGGACCTTTCTCTTGCTGGAGTTTTGGGTACTAAGGGCCCTATATACCTGAATATACAGAGCAGGATGAAGGAAGGAGGTGGGGGATTTGCTTTTTAGAAATGGGCTGGCAAACTGATGTTCACACCAAAGAAAGCAGGGCCAAGACATGCAGAGAGAAAAGAGAAGGCCTCGATGGCATTATTTAAACCTCTTGATCCTGCCAAGAGGTTCAAACACACACACACACACACACACACACACACACACACACACACCTCTTTTTTATACATTTTTGGGGAAGATATCACTGACCTAGCATTTTGTCCCTCACTACATTTGCAAGCCTGTATTTAGAAGTAGAGAATCTCCTTTTCTTTCTTAGGTGTGGGCTAATATATCCAGAAAGAATGAAAAGTAGTGGTATTGCTGTCCCTTCTCAAGGGTGAGAAGGCCTTTGTGCTTCTCAGATCTTGTCCTTTTCTGAAAGATACAGAATAAGCGTTTAGTGCTTTGGGTCAAAGGACAGGCACTGGAAACTTCATATCTCTTTGCTTGTGAAGTAGCTGATGGCCCCGCCCTTCCTGGGGCTGGTTCTAGGAGAAACTGCTCTGCTCTTGAATACAGGGTAGGATGGCTGAAAACAGATATCAGTGCAGTGCCTGAAGAAGGGGACCAGACTCCAAAAACATACCAGCACTACAGGTCAAGTGGTCCATTTACCCCCTTTGAATAGGACTTTTGCAGTTATTGTACTTCAGAGACACCAACACTGATTTTTTTTGGTAACCATGTGAGGAGGACATCTACTGCTTCTTACATACCAAAAACTCTTTTCTCCTTTCCACCCCAATGACAATCTTAGATCCCACTAATAATACAGTTGTCATTGTCCGCAGTAATTTTCTAAAGGCTCATAAAAACTCTAAAGGGCCCACAAAACCTAAGTGGTTTGACTTCTGTGGCACACTGGTGTCCTCCAAGCTGGGGACAGAGCAAGTGGCACCACTATTACTTATCAAAAGAGATTACAGCAATTTGTGTAAATGCCATGAGGCTGTGGACTCCTCCAGGAAAGGGACTGTTCCTTCCTTGTGATGACATCCAGAACAATGTGTGGGGCACAGTATGTACTCAGTAAATGTCAGTGAACTGCATTTCATATTACTTTTCCAGTCTCTTCCCACACACACTTTTATATATAATAGTTGCAACCTTATGATAATGAAGCATTTTCTATTCTTTGTATCATTAAAGTACGATTTGGTTAGTCCTGACAACTGGCTGTTTCCATCTTGAGAAAGAGGTAGAGGGAGAGAGGGAGAGCCAGAGTGGGAGGAGGTGGAAAGAGAGAGAGACAGAGAGACAGA